ATGGCTATTTTTTAGGGGAAGTGAAGACAAAAGATGGCCTAAGCGAGCGATGAAAATTCAACAGTAAAGCTTACTTAAACCCTGCTAAGGGCATCTACGTTACAGTTCTGTTTACCACTTTTGTGTTCGACTACCATGTCATATTCTTGTAGAGTAATGCTCCACCGCAGCAGTTTGCTGCTCTTATCGCGGACCTGATTCAACCACACTAAAGGGTTGTGGTCCATCTGCAGCTTAAAAGTACGGCCATACAAATAGTACCGAAACAGCTCAACAGCCCATACAATACCTAAGCACTCCTTCTCTGTAGTGGATAACTTTTGCTCTCTAGGCTGAAGCTTTCTACTTGCATAAGCTATAGGGTGTTCCTCCCCTTCCTGATATTTCTGGCTTAAGATTGCGCCAAGACCTCTATTCGAGGCATCTACTTACAAAACGAATTCGTCCTCCCAATGTGGCGGTCTCAAAACAGGAGGGTTCTGCATAGCAGCTTTTAGATCCTGAAATTCCAATTGATTGGTTATATTCCACTGTACCTTAGAAGGATTCTTACCTTTAGTTAGGTCAGTCAAAACAGCAGCTCGTTTTTGAAAAGTTAGGAATAAACTTTCGGTAATACCCTACTAACCCAAGAAAAGATCTTACCTGCTTCTAGGAACCCCTAACGGGTCGTACAACCAGGGGCGTAGCTAGGGGGGGTCCTAGGGTGCCCGTGACCCCCCCTTGGTAGGCCTTCTTTTGAGCAAACAACCTACAATATTCATGTGGCGAAAACGCCATGACAATATCTTGGCCGTAAAAGCCATTGTTGAAAAGCCCACTTTTTTAACATTTGTTTTTTCAGGAACCCATCAAATGGGCTCCTGGTTTTTTTGTAAAGTATTTTCGTCAACGGCTCTTGTCTTTAGTTAATATGGGCCTTCATGCCGAGATAATACGACTGAGCCCGCTGATACACGAGGGAGAGCACCGGTATAAACCATATATAGTCGGCGATCACCGGATGGTGTCCCTGTCTGTGACCCCCCCTTTGAAAAATCCTGGCTACGCCCCTGGTACAACTGGGCCAAGAGCTTACTCATGAAATATGGATCCCTGGTCAGACACTATTTCATCGGGAATACTCACCCTAGAGAAATACTGAATCAATGCTTCTGCAACAGTCTTTGCGTTTGTTGTTCGCAAAGGTATGGCCTCTGGATACCGTGTAGCATAATCTATTATTGTTAAAATGTATTTATAGCCAGTTGTTGTCCTACTGTAGGTAATTCACCAACGATGTCTATAGTGATCTTCTTAAAAGGCTCGGTAACGATTTCCACCTGTTTTAAAGGTGCTCTTTTTGACTTTAATTTCGTGGCTACCAACTGACATTGAGGACAAGTTACATCATAACTTAGACCAGCCCAAGAAAAATGCGCAGCCATCCGGTCAAATGTCTTTTTGCTACCCATGTGACCTGATGAGGGGATTGTTTGTCCAACCGGCAAATTTTCGTTTCTGTAGGATTCTGGCACTACAATACCATCAACAAACCTAGTTCCATTATGCTCATCTGAGAGATATTTGCGATGAAACAAGAGGGTCATTTGTGAAAAAGTAGCCATCTGATTCTTCTGGTGCTTTTTGGAACGCTTCACGGCGTATCTTCTCGAGAGTTACGTCGGACTTTTGATCCGCGATCAGCTGAAATCTACTTCGGTCGAGGATGTTTACTGGAAAATTATCCTTTTCAGGGTCGGTTACCACAGTACCATTCTTGGAATTCTCCTTACCTTTCTCTTCCGGTATCTTTCCTTCAAAGAGAGTTTGCAGATCTCCTTCCTCTGGACCCTCACGTTTCGCCTCTTTTTCTGATAAACTTTTGACTGCTATTGAACTTTCTCGGTCAACTAACTCATCTGCTCTTCAACTGGGCTTCTTCTAATGCTCTCTGTCTTCGAGTCACTACGAAGGCCTCTTGTCTACCAGCATCGGCTGCCGAAACGTTTTCCTCCCATTGGTCCAAAATATTTTGCCTCGAAAGCGTCTTTCCAAAGGAGGACCTGCCAAGTAAACAATCTACAGGTAGCTTGTCCAAAACTCCAACTAATTCTACATGTTTACCTTCGTTACTATCAAATTCAACATTTGCAAGGGGAACTGTAAGACGTTCTCCGGCAGCTGTTAATACTGTGATTTTGTCACCAGTCAAGGCTGAGCTGTTTACATATTTGCTGTGAACCAGAGTCCTAGAACACCCAGAATCAACGACCATTTCTGCAAACTTTCCATTTATTTTATTTCGAACATTGCAGGGAGGAAACTCAGATTGTTCTGTCGTTAGAGGTGTCATGCACAACAGGTACCCTGTGAGGGCTTCTCACGACCCTTACCACAGTTAAACGACATGTTTCCTGGTTTACCACATTTGTAGCACTTAATTTCTGGCTTTGTAGTCTTTTGTTCGGGGGAGGGTGAGGGCTTTGAAGGCTTTTCTTGATTTTGATTTTGTTTCTCTTCATGCAAAGAATCATCTCCCTTACCTCCAAACCTTTCCTTTTCCCAGATTTTACCTCACCTCGGTTTGTTACATACTTACCCCCAACAAGTGGTCCTTTTCTGGACTGAACATGCAAATTAGCGAGATTACCAAGTTCCTCAGCGGTCTTTGGCTCCTGTTACTTTAACCAAGCTCTAAGTTTAGGGCTTACTGCATCGAGGAGTCGCTCCATAATTATTTGATCGATGATCTTTTCTGCATCACCTGTAGCCTCGGCAACGGCCATTCAACGATTAAGGTACCTACGGGTCCTGTTTTCCCACTGAACAAAATCCTCATCAGGTTTTTTCTCCGAAGTCCGAAACCTATATCTATAATGATCAGCAGTCAACTGGTAAGCTTTAATGATAATAGCCTTACTTTCGAAATAACCTTCGCAGGCAGGGTCAGGAATTTCTAAGTAGATTGACTTAACCTTTTCAGTTAGCTTGGTAGAGATTGTGCCCTTGCAGTCATTTCCAAAATCCTGAAATAATCATCCATATCCTCACTTTCCCTCATTTCTCTGATTTTCATAAATTTGGGCCCTTTAGTCTCATTGTTACTCACCTGCCATCTTTCCGACTCTCTTGCAGCAAATTGTTCTTTCTCAGCTCTGAGTTTTCTAAGTCTCTCCTCTTCTCGAATCAAAGGTTCTTCTTCTTCCTGGGACGTTTGCCTTTCATACTCTCTTCTTTCTTTCTCGGCCTCTTTTTCTGTCTGGCGCCTTTACCTCTCTCTCTAGCTCCCTAATTTCCCTTTGCTCCTAACTAATTTTCCTTCGTAATTCTAGCATCTGCATTTCACGATCCTGTAGCTGTAATCTTTGATCAAAACTGAGACTAGTGTCCTGAGCAGACTCCACAAGATTCTCGTTTTCCCCCTCATCCCCCGAACTTTGGCCTAACCGATCAAACGCTCTTAGTCTGCTTGCCAAGGTCTTAACCCCGTCCTTACGTGGGAAATAAATACTTCTTCTCGTAGCTTCATCCCTAAGCTCTTGTAACGACCAGGAGTCATAGTCGGTGGCTCTAGCGGCCATGATAAATCCTAAATACGGTATTACGCGTCTCCGTGTGAGCCGTTTATGCAAACCTTTAAAGAGCAATCCCGCTCCTGACACCAAAAATCTGTGACGAGACCAGCCACAAAAGTGAGCCCTCTCCAACGATAACACCGAGCATAGACAAACTCAAGAGAACACGTAGATATAAAAAATAATGCTCTAAACGTTTATTAAAATAATACTCCCAAAACCTCCCGATTTTAAGATTAACTAGGCGTTTCTATAATTATACTCGTTTCACTAAACAATTAAGACTAATGCGATATTACTTGTGATAATTATTTTAATTTCTAAAGACTAATTCGATATTACTTTTTTTTTACACAAAATACACAGTGATTTTTGAACTTCTTAGTCTACAGCATATTTACAAATTATCTTCTTCGAACACGTAGTAATAGTTCCCTTTTTAGTTCACCTTATGTATAAAACAGAGTTCCTCGTCTTTCCTTTAGTCCTTCCGAACACAACACCACTTTTACTCGATCCCAAAACCTCCAAACTCCAGTAGCCGCCTTTCTCTTATATCTTTCACAGACTTGCTACGGCTTCGGTCTCCAGGTCTGCCGCTGCTCTCTAGTTCAGTCTGGTTTTCCGCAACCGTTCTTGGAGAGATATTATGTAACGCACTGTCTTCTTGGAGAGATGTTACGGTCTCCACAATACTTCTCCTGTTCTCTCAACTTTGACAGCACATCAAACTGCTTCCCCCCTACAAAATGACTTCCTTTGCCGTGAAGGTAAAAGGGACGCCTCTGCTGAAGGGATTTCAGTAGAACGGCTTGTGCTTCAAGGTCTCTCTCTTACAGTCTCTCTGAACGCGCCCTCCGCACTGACTTTTTAGCGATGCAGCTCCTTTTTAATATCTAAAACTTCCAAATCTCATGCAAATGCAAGGTGTGGCAAAAAGGGACTATTGTAAAAGGTCCGATCTAGTAATTAACGGCTTACAACCAATAGAACGGCTTACAATGAATATTTTACCTTATTAGTTTTATAACGAATAATAAAGTACCAACTACAACAATAAAAGTTACGCAATATCGTACACGGCAAAAAAAAAAATACTTAAACAAAAAAATTAGCATAAAAGAAGTAACTATTATTAATTAGGCATTCTATGACTGCTGTCAAGACACTAGCCTTCGAATCACCCCTGATAAAATTAAATTGCTTTTTATTGGCACCCGCCAAATGCTGCAAACTGTGCCCGCAGATTTGGATTTACCCATTACTTTACTGGGGATATATATGGATGCTACATTAAGTTTTAATGACCACATAAAAAGTATTTCATCTTCTCGTTTGTCGAGTTTATGTCAAATTAATAGGGTAAAACATCCTTTAGACCAAAATAGACTGCAAAACAGTCGGTTTTTGTCTCAAAATCAGCATAAGAAATCGGTAAAGCGTGCCGTAAGAGTCTTACGCGCGAAGCGAGCGAGCCTCTGTTTTCAGCCTCGTTCCAGACCTTTTGTTTGACTGCTCGCGCGTACTTGAATACACAAAAATACGGACTGTTTTGCAGTCTAAGACCAAAACACTTTATCAAACGTCACCAATGCACAAGTCTTTAGCAAACTCCCAATGTTCTTCTACCAATGTTCTTCTGTCTGGTCAAGGACGACGAATAGGAATATCGATAAATTACAGAATGTTCAAAACTTCGCAGCTAGAATCGTAATCCGTTCGCGTGAATTTGATCACATCACCCCTGGTCTTAGAGACGTAAAATGGCTGTCAGTCGCATCCATGGTTGTCTACTAGGGATGGCATAATGGTTTTCAAGTGCTTAAGGAGATTGGCTCCGGACTATCTGGCTGAAAAATTTAGAACGAATTCTGATTTTCACAGCAGAGACACACGTAACAAGAATAAGATTGACATTCCAGGGGACCGAACTGCAGGTAGGCCAAAGGTCCTTTCATTATCGCTCCGTTTCACTGTGGAACTTTTTGCCCGAAAGGCTCACTAGACCCTCACTAAGATGACAAAATTGCACCATTCAAGAAGAAACTTACGCGTTATTTAAAATCGTCTCAGTAAGCAGTCTATTTTGAAGACAGGGTTTCTTATATTAATAAAAAAAATCTTTATTCAATACTCATAAAAAAGACCTATATACAGAGCTTCACTTAAAAAAAGAATTAAAACGAAATTTGTACCTTAACATCTGTCAGAAAAAAGAAAAGATCATAAAGTCTCAATATCTGCAATATCTCTTGAAATATAATCCACGAATATGTTTCTCTAATAATTATTATTACTATTACTATTAGCAATCAGTACCAATATTTAACATCTTTTCACTAATTCCTCTTTAAAATCTGGCACGATTTCAACATGAACCAAAAACGAGAAGAATATGAAATATAAAGTATATTACTTTTGTCTTTGTAATGGAGAAAATTAGAGACTATGTTACTGATGTCTAGATCTTGTTAAAATCTTGAGAATATATAGTGTTATTTTCTAATGTTTTATATTTTTATAAGGATATTTTTATTCATAATTGCTTTGAAAAGCCATTCGTGGAAAGTAATATAGTCGGTTATTATTATTATTGTCATTATTATTATTATTATTATTATTATTATTAAGAAGACAGTAATTACTTAGTACTCAGTTTAACGTCAAAGTACTTTAAAAAAGAAACTGACAGTAGCAGGGGCACCTTAGAAGCACAAATATGTAATTTCAGATATCATTTCCTACTTCTGCGCTGTTTCAGTGGTATTAATTATAACGACTTGGTTTAAGAGATGGAAGCTAGGCTAAGTTAGATTTCGCAAAGATGCCTGGGATTGTTACTGGGGACGCTTCAGTCCCAGAGGTCTTTGCTTCCAGTTTCCTTTCCATTTCTAAAGTGGCGATCATGGTTAGCTTTCAAACTTGGTCAACCACGGTTTGGCAGTCAAAACATGGTTAAACTTTTGTCTCACGGCTCCCGCATAACAGAGTCTTGCTTGATCAAACCAATCGTAATTTCTTGGGATTCTATATTGAAATTAAAATTTAAAAAATTAATAGGTTTCGCCGCAGTCTCCGTCCTCGGGTCTTAAAGGTGATGTTACACGAGACGATTCGCAACGACGATTTTTAGCTCAACACAGCGTTGCAACATTGTTACGAAATTGTTTCGAATAGTTAAAACATTGTTGTAACATTGCAACGTTGTGTTGCACTAAAAATAGTCCTTGGAAATCGTCTCGTGTAACATCACCTTAACCGGTCTCCATTCTTTTTCCTGACGTAATCTCAGTTGTTCATTTGTGAGTGTGAGTATAGTAGTCTTATTAGGCGTAGTATCTCCATGATTAAGGCTATGTTGACAGTATACCGTACAGCTTTTCGTGCTGACATGATATCTTATCCGATATAGTATGAACACCTATCCGATATGTGACTCTCCACTTTAGAGATCCGCGCAGCGCAGCTTCGCTCCATCACAGAAAACACGCCCAAATCCCCGTTCGTATACGTAAACAGAGGCCCTCTCCGGTATGGTTTTCGTACCGGCGCAAAAGCTATCTGGTATGTTGTAACATGGGCTTAATACTGACTTGAACATCTCTGAACTGAAGTGTTACGTTGTGTCAAGGTCAATCCATTACTAATAGACCTAGGACGCTTACCATTTGTACGGAAATTTGGGTGAAAACTTTCCGTTCCGTCAAATGGTGCTGGTATTTTTTTGGGCGCCGAAAACAAGAACGGGATTGAGTTGTACCATTTACAAAATACCGGTAAATTTTTCGCTTTCACTCGACATGAAGCCTGGCACCGGTAATCCAAACAAATGGTACAGAAAATTTCGCTCGTTTCGCTAAAAACGGGAAAAAGGTAATACCTCGAAAGGTATTGCTTCTTCTATCTTAACGAACGCTTCTTTAAAACGAACACAAAGGCCATGTTCAGAACCGGATAGATAGCTTTTGCGCTGGCACGAAAAGCATACCGGGTAGGGATTCCCTAACAAGGAGAAACTGCGCCACGCCGATCTCTAAAGTGAAGAGTAGCATATCGGATAGGTGTTAACACTAAACAGGATAGGTTTACGTGTCGGCACGAAAAACTATCCGGTATACTGTGAACATAGCCCTAGGGTAGGACCTTACTGTTTTTCACTCATTTCCGTTGACTCCCCATAAGGCGGATACCTGTCTGAGACGATCACTTAGCACCCTCATTCCCCCTCCCTCAGTGTCCTTGGTAGAAACAGCACAGGAACCTGTGAAGCTAAGAGTTCGCATGCGCTACCCGTTTCATTCCACTGAGGAACTGAATTCATATCAAAACAAGAGGTCGTTCCTTGGACGAGACATAAAGGTTGCATAAATTTAAAAGTGAACTCAGGAGAAAACCCATTCTTTTTTAGAAACGATTTGTTATTCCTTCCAAGCAGGGCAATGCTACAAAAACATTAAGATTTATTACATACCTTCTGGGAATACTGTTTTAATCCGTGCACTGTGCAATTATTCTACCTCTTTCGGAAATCCCATAATAAGGCAAAATCTGAAGATGAAAAAACATCTCTGACCAACTGATGATTGATAATCGAATGATGTGAAACATCATTTGAATTGATTAAATAAAACTGGTAAATTGCATTGTTGCCTACTTCGATTATGTTTATTACAACATTTGGCATGTCGGATGTGCCGCTCGAAGGATTATTTTCCAAGCAAAGAACGTCATGGTTATTCAATAAACTCGTCATGTTGAAACAACGAGTCAACTATTAAAAAGGAGTGAGACTTTTTTCTATTTATCAGGTCTCCAAAAATGTAAAACCAATTAGAGTTTTTTTGCCACAATAAGTAAAGTTGCACCCTTGGATCTGTTCAAAGAATTTAAACCCCAAGGGCGTGGCACATATACTCTATCGTTTTCTAAGACTAGTGATTCATTCAAATCTTCCCCCCTCCCCACCCAGCACTGCTAATTTTCCGTAAGAGTAGGGGGAATGGGTC